AGGAGAGATGTTTATAAAGATGTTTATGTTTAAATGTTGTATTAATTGTGCATGGTATGTTTCAGATTTATCCAATTGAAAATGTAAATGTGGAAATATGAATTTTCCCCATGTACCACTAGGGAGCGAGAGCGATTCTCAAACTGTGGTACACGTCAATATTTGATAATAGAAGGAAAAAGAAGAAGCTATTATGTTGTTAAATTACATCATTTTTTTATTTTTTTTTATTTTAGGTTAGCTTCCAATAGTTAATGATGGCAAGATGCAGCTTTCTGAGACATTTATTAACCTAAAGATTTTCAATACAATTCTCTTTGGTGGCATCTGGTGGCCGAAAGTATTAAGACTTGCTTTAAGATAAGACTTCATTGTGATTTGCCAATCTACGGAGTTGTTGTTGTTGTTGTTGTTGACAGCTTAGATTGAATATGTGTTTATGTATAAAATATCCCATTGATACATTTTGGTAAATCTACTCTTTTTTTTTTTTTTTTTTTTTGGACACATTGAGTGTTCAGAGTTTCAGCGTCGAACCAATCTGTATCGCGTTAATGATATAGTGGTTAGCATAGCATCCTGCAGTGGTCCACATTGGCTTTGGAGTACCAAACAATCTAGGCAAAACAGTTTTAACGTATATTAAAATATATAATATATTCAAATATATAATTTCACGTTTGTTACTTTCACACTGACAGCCACTAGAGGGCACTCTAGGCTTGTGATTTGGTTCTCTCACACAGCTTCTTTTGTCTCTGTGCATTTTTACAGTGGTCTGTGGTGGGCGACACCTTCCCCGTGGGCTGCAAGTTTCAAAACTCAATTGTGTTCAGGGACAGCACCTTCCTCGACAACCCAGACAACAAAAACCAAAGCTACAAGTTAGTATCTCATATATATATACTGTTTATATTAGTGTTGGCTCGTCAACATTGCCTCATCAATTTTTCTGTTTAGTTCAAAATGGACCAAGTTTGTTCACTTTTTTAAGAAAGAGCGTTAAAATTATTTCTTAATTTCACTCTCATGGCAAATAAGATTTTGAAAAAAAAATTGGAAAATATGGGTAAAAGTAAATAAAAATTGTAAAAAAATTACTTTATAAAATAATATACATATATGTTGTATGAAATATAAACAGATGGTCTTTGAACCGAGCCTTCTTAAAGACTCAACAAATAAACTCTAAATCTGTTTATCCATGAGAACATAAAAAGTTGTTCGAAAACTTTTTTTATGGTACATTCCAGTTCTCATGGTTTTTAGCAGTGACTGCTAAACTCTGTGATGTGTTGGTATTTCTGTTGTTTATTTTAAACACTCTGTTTACTGAACGTTCCGATATAAACCAGTATCTCTTTATACAGTAGTAGTTGGGGTTGGGGTTGGGGTTAGAGAAAGAAAAGAAAGAAAGAGAGAAAGAGAGAGAAAGAAAGTGAGAAAGAGAGAAAGAATGAGAGAGTGAGAGAAAGAAACAGAGAGAGAGAGAAAGAAAGAGAAAGAGAGAGAGAGAAAGAGAGAGAGAAAGAAAGAACAAAAGAAAAAGAGAAAGAGAGAGAAAGAAAGTGAGAAAGAGAGAAAGAAAGAGAGAGTGAGAGAAAGAAACAGAGAGAGAGAGAAAGAAAGGAAGAGAGAGAGAAAGAAAGAAAGAAAAAGATAAAAAGAGAAAGAGAAATAGGAGAGAAAGAAAGAAAGAACAAGAGAGAGAGAAAGAAAGACAGAGAGCGAGAGAAAGAGAGAAAGAAAGAGAGAGAGAGAAAGAGAGAGCGAGAGAGAAAGAAAGAAAGCGAGAAAGAAAGAAAGAAACATTTGAAAAACAGCAATTTGCTTAGTTTGCAATAATCAGACATGGGTGGCGTACATGATAGAGGCATGATCCCAAACAGGGCAGTTCATGTATCATCAGGCATCTTAGATAATGTGTTCAGTTCCCAAGATCTACAGCAGTAGTGACATCAACAACCGCTTTAACGTCAATCAACTTCAATGTTTCTAGTACAGAGCATGGGATCTATGAAGCCAACTGTGGTCTAGACAAAGTCCTCATGTCCTGGGGTCATGATGGTAAATGAGCAGATGCATACACCTCGTCAAGACACCCACGACGCTGATGATCCTGACGGTAACGCGTTTGTTTTGCCTCCAGAGTATCTCTACAGAGTCCTGAAATTCAACAACTGCTCCATTCCTGAGGAGGTGAATATAAATTCTTTTTTTCCTTCATATGCCACTTATTTGCTAAAAATGACAATATCTTGTTGAATACAAAATCCCTTAACTCATTCGTGGTTGGTTGTCATCAGGGCATGTACATGATCCGCTTTCATTCCTTCTACCCCTGGCACTCCCATGAAGACTACATGCACCTGTGCAGTGACAAAGACCTGCAGATGCTCCCCTGGGTCAAAGAGTTCAAGTAAGACATTCCCATAGTTCTTTTCACTTATCCTCTGACTATTTACAACTTCATATCTATATCTATATATATATGTATATATATTTTAATGGACTCCACAGCAAATTTGATCTGTATACAAAGACCACCGTCCTGCCTGATGTAGAGAAGCTGATGCCCTACTACCAGTCAATCGTTGACAAATACTGTCCTGGAATACTCAAGTGGTAAAGGAGCTGAAGATCACAGGAAATCCACTACGCGAAACCAGCTGTGACATTACTCAAATTTGTCCTTCCTGCTTTGTCCTTGTAGCTGCTTGATAAAGCTGGGCTTTAATCCTGCTTTTTACGCATTTTAGCGATCGCTGACTATAGACAAATATGTCATTTGTGAATACCATATTTTCCGGACTATAAGTCGTGCTGGAGTATAAGTGGTATAGGAGTAAAGCGATCACTGACTATAGACAAATATGTCATTTGTGAATACCATATTTTCTGGACTATAAGTCGTGTTGGAGTATAAGTGGTATAGGAGTAGCAGATGCTGGTACACGAGCCTAGAGCGCCCTCTAGCGGCTGTCTGTGTGAAAATAATGAACATGGACATTTTCAGTGGTACAGGAGTAGCAGATACTGGTACCCAACTCTAGAGTTGTGTAGGATTCTAGCAGCTGTCAGTGAGGAAATTATATATATATATAAAAAAAAAATCTTAATATATAAACCGTACCCAGCCAAAGGATGAAAGTGCGACTTATAGTCCAGAAAATAAGGTCATTTCTGACTGCGCTGGTTTGCCGAGTTATTAAGTACCAAAGGGACCAGCATTGAAAATATACATTAACGTTCGGCACCTGTAGTCTACTTTAGTTAGTTGGGTTAGTACTCCTTCCTTACAGCAAGAAGTAAACGGACTAGATCCCAGGTCTGAGTTTGCATGTTCTTCCTCCAGGTGCTGGAAGTCCAGTTTCTTCTCAATCCAAAAAACATACAGGACTAGGTAATTAGACACTGATTTGACCATAGGGGTGAATGTTCATCTGCAGAAAGAAAAAAAAAAAAGTCAATATTTTGAAAGTATTTTCCAAAATATTAACTGCTAGGCCATGTTGTCTGTCTCTATCAGTGACAATTTTTTTTTCTCTGTTCAGTGCGAATGACCAGTTGGTTGGTAAATAGGACCTTTGTTTCTTATATCTAATGCTGTCAATAATTAAAAAAAAGTCAAATCTTGTGGGCTACAAAATATATTTTTTATTTAAAGTTTTTTTTTTTTTCCTGATCAAGTACACAAAAACTACATGCACTGAAGCCACTGTAGCACAGAGATAACAACATAAAACAACATTTGAGAGAATTCTTCATCATGGCTGGAACATGGTTTACAACCACACACGTAAATATATATATATACATAATATACATATATTTCTATATGTTTACATGTGTGTGGTTGTAAAACCATACATATATATATAAACATATGCATACAGTATATGTATGTATACACATATATAGACATACATACATATACATACACATACATTTACACATATACATATATGCACACACAGAAATATATATATATACACACATATGTGTATATATATATATATATACACATATGTGTATATATATATATATATATATATATCTACATACACACATTCGTTCACACATGCATATATATAAAGGGAACCTCACATCACATCGCATGTTGCTAAGGCACTGTACCTCAGAAGGGTACAAGCACATGATCAGATTCCATGACGGAATTTTTTATCCAGGGATTACCGAAGAGTCACATCAAGAGATGGCAGGTTGTTGTAGGCAAGAGATGTATGCGTGGAGTCGTGAGTGGAAAAAGTATTGTTTGTTTACAGGAATGCGTGACAAAAGCCGGTGACGACTACACTTGATGATTTGCAGCACAAAACATACGAGTTTCTTTTGAAGGCTCAATTCTTGCTGGATTTCTCTTTATGCTCCTCATCATCTTCTTCACTCTTCTCTTTTTCCTCGTCTTCCCCGTCAGCATCCTCTTCTTCAACCTCACCGTTCCCTTCGCTGTCCTCTGTCTGGCATTCAGCAGGCTTTTCGGCATCCTCTTTTACTGCGACAGCCTCGGTTTGACATTTCGGGCTTCCTCTTGTCATGTTTAACAATCCTCGGATTAAACTGAACGTGACGCTGCAGGCGATAAGCGTCCAAATCAGTATGGGGGCAGGAACGCCTCTGACCTGAGAGCGAACCCACCTCACTCCTTGGGCTATAACTTTGTTGGAAGTTTGGTGTGGAGTAGACTTGTCCTACAAATAGGAGAAAGTTAAAAAAAAAAAAAAAAAAAACATTCAGAAGACCAATAGGACAAAAGTAACTTTTAAAATGACTACGATTTGTACAAGAAGGGAAAGTTAAGGTTTAAAAGATTGTGTTTTACATTAAGGCCAAATTCTTTGACTACGCTCTCCAGGATATTGCTGTCCAGGTGCACCGTGGGATAATACTCCCGATCGTAGACCCTCCTCCACCAGGGTTGTGGGTGAAACCTGTCAAAACACAACAACAACAACAACAACAACAACAACATCTTGAGTTCATGCTCTTTATACGTGTTTCTTTTTACTACTAAAAAAAAAGTTGTCGGGATTGTATAATATTCTTTTCGTGCTATTATCAGTATTTCTAGATTTATGCACTGCCAATTTTTATTTTTTTAATCTTTTTTATTAGTTAAAATTACAACAACTGCTCTTTGCGCAATCGGGTCCGTCATAATATTCACATTATTATCATTGTCAATGGCATGTGACAAATAAAGCTTCTGGATTGTTGATCTTACGCAATTTGTTGAGCGCAAAATTACAGTAAAAACAGTCAGTCTTTAGGGAGGATTGTTGATCTTACGCAATTTGTTGAGAGCAAAATTACAGTAAAAAACGGTCAGTCTTTATCAGAAACATGATAATGCGCTTAGCATTATCATGTAACACTAGGGATGTCTGATAATATTGTTATTAGTAAAATACGAGTATAGTTACATAATATCGGTATCGCTTTGATAATAATAACCTGATAACGCAATATGTGATGTGACCTAAACTGCAAACAGCCTCCAAAACATATTGGTATCGGCTAGTATCAAAATTAAGTGTTTGGACAACATCAGCATATTGGCAAAATGCTAACGTCCCTAGCTTATACTTTTAATTAACTTTTAGTTAAAAAAAAAAAGCCAAATGGGCCGCAAATCTGGCCCCCGGGCCGTAGTTTGCCCATGCCTGAAATAGTCCAACATGAAGGACAACATGAAGGTTAATGGCGTAATGGTTTTCCAATAATCACGTGTGTATGCCAAGGTAGAGTGGCAAAATAACCCCCCAAAAAAATAAAAAATAAACAGAAGAAAACTGACCAGCTATCCTTGGGATGAGAAAACCAATATCTGTAGAGGTGAGCTCTCAGGTAGGCAGGCGGCTCCAGGTGGAAAGGATACTTTGACACATCCGTCTGGATCAGTTCGATCACTACATCACAACACCAACAAAAAGCCATCAGTCATTTTTTTTTTTTTTTTGTGACGTGTCCTTCCATGTCCATCAGGGGTGTGGGTACTATGTTGTACCGTCTCTCTTGCCCTGAAGTAGTCTGTACATCAGGCTGCTAAACCAAAGAGCTTGATGGTGAGGCCCAAGGGCTGCAAACCACATTTGCCAGTCCAGTCTAGGTTGGTGAGGGGTCACCACAGCAGGGGGCGCACTTAGGTTTCCCGGCTTAAACATGAACTCGATCTCCTGTTAAAGAAAATCGTAAATAACCTACAGAAGGACAGTGAGATGACTTTACCGTCATATGGAAAACACTACTAGATCATATATGCTACACATACAAGTACTATAAATATATGCATATATATATATATTAATGGTTTAAGTACGCTCTTAGCCAACGTAAAACAGCTACTTTTATAATATAATATTTAATATATATTTGTCATTTTATTTTAAACAGTTTGAGACTACCAAACCAATGGAATAAGTTAAACTGTTTAACTTTTATTTATATTGAACAAACATCTACTGTATATATGGTTGTTTAGAAAACTACAAGAAATACAGACGGCCAATGGCAGTTAACAACACGAACCTAAGATGATACCAATGCTCGTCTGATGCATCTCTACTTTGTACTTTTACATTTCTTTTATTTTAATAATGATTCATTTTTGGGCCTATAAGTTGCACTTTTTTTCCATCATTATATATTAAAATATATAATTTCACATGTTTGTTTGTTTTTTTCAGACTGACAGCCGCTAGAGGGCACTCTAGGCTCGTATATCAGTATCTGCTACTCCTGTACCACTGAAAATGTATATGTTCATTATTTTTTACACTGACAGCCGCTAGAGGGCGCTCTAGCCGGCTGGTGCAACTTACAATCGGAGTGAATTGTAGTCCGTAAAACAAAAGTACTCATGAGGCATATGCTCACCGTCCATTCGATTCCATCATAGCTACCCTCAATGACGACTTCGGGCCTTCCACCAACGCCGGTCATCCTCCTAAAAAGGCCGTAGGAGTTGACTACCTGGTAGCGATCCACAAATTCATAGGCACGATGCACTGCGGGCCACAACCTGGTATTAGAGTCGTGCTCGATGTAAGTGAACGGTACCTGAAAAGGTTACGTTTGTGCGGAAAGGAAAAAGAGCAATATGCAAATAAATTTCACGTCTACTACTTCACCTTTCTAAATTTATTTTAGAAATCAATTCAAAGTCAATGAAATAATTAAAATAATGGGACATAAAATTGTGTTGTTTTTTTTGGATAAGGCCAGTGTTCACTGGAAATCTTAAGGCCTCATTCATTATTGTGTGCATTGGCACGCAATGGTATCTGACAGAAATTGTTTGAGAAGTGAGAGAATCAATTAGAATTAGAATTGTGCAAAAATAATTTATGAACTCATTCGGAAAAAAATATTAGACAAACTAGAGCATTTTTTTTCCCCCCAGAAACCTCATATCACTTGCTGCAAATACAAATGCAGGTCTGACTCCAAACTAAAAGCAATGCAAAATGAGCACCCACCAAACTGACGGCGAACATGGCAGCAGCGGCGGCAGCAAACACGGTCCACTGAACGGTTCCAAGAAATCTCTTCAGAAACCCATCAACACATGCACACCTACAAAAAAAAAACATATATAAAATTAGGCATACTCACTCATGTGACTTTGCTATTTTACCAACTCATGACCAACCTACTAATCCAATGGAGTCTTACCTAAACATGGCCCTAACCATCTCCCAGGTCAAAGAGTGAATGCCGATCCAGATACAGGGAATTGTGATGGCCTTCAGAAACGTATTAAAATGGTGGAATGTGAACGCTGCAGGTAAGAAAATGACAGCCAACAACTATCAGTTGATTGAATTGATGAACGACCGTATTTTCCGGATTATAAGTCGCACTTTTTTTTTTCATCCTTTGCTTGGGTTTGCGATTTAAACTCAGGTGCGAGTTACGTATTAAAATACATAATTTTCACACTCACGGCCACTAGAGGGCAGTATAAGTCGCAGGATTAGTAGAGTATTATTTTGATGTTTAATACCAAGATACCACAACGTTCCTTATATGTACACTCACCCGTCCTGGACGACATGGTTTTCTTGGTAAGATCCAGTTGAAGGTCAAAACATTTAATAGACCCAAACACCATCAGAGCCCACACTGCCAGCTCCACCAGGTAACACGACCACATTATCAATCTGGACTCTGATAACAAACGGGAGCTTTGCCACTAACTAGTCAAATTTTTTTTTTTTAATTTTTTTTAATTTTTTTTTTAATTATCTTTAGTAAGATAATAAATACAATATATTAGACAATCTTCATATTTAATGAAATATAATTTTACGAAACATATAATTAACATGAAGTCTCTTGTCATTTTTTTTTTTTTTTTTACTTTCAAAATTCATAAAGTGGGCCGGATTTCAACCCCCTAACTGGCTGAATTTGGCCCTCAGGCCATATGTTTGACACTACTCTAAACAGTGATTCCTAAGCAACCTCTTTGTGACCTACAGAGAGATGTGAAATAAAATAAAAAAATTGATATCAATTAATTGAATTTTACATATTTATAACTAGTCTCTACATGTCTATGTGTGAGAGGCAGGCAGAACAATTATATACTCGTCCACAAGGTGGCAGTAGATAGGTATTGAATTAAAAAAAGAGAAAGCCTCAGAACTGTACGTCACTATAAAACGTAAGATGATATCATAAAGAGTACCCTACCGTTTTTGTTGTTGTTTACGTCCGTCTTGCGAAGCCAGAAGTAGACGTGCTGATCGTCCAGCAGAGACAGACACAGCGCCAACGTCAGCAGGTTAAAAAAGTTATAGTTACCAGTCAAAATAATCAACACCTGTAGCAGAACCTAGACGACGTTGGAAAAAAAAAAAAAAAAAAAAAAAAAAAAATCACACAACAATAATACAATTTTGAAGTAAAATCAATTACTTAAACATCACTGTTAAAATGAATTTTATTTAAATAATGTAAATAAAATCTGATTTAAAAAAAAAAACAGTTCCTAAATTAAAATCTTATTGAACTGACCAGTGCTTGACTTTTTGCTGCTTACCTGCATATAAAAGGAGCCGAGTCGGTGCCTGCGGAGTGGACTGAAGAACAACAGAGGCACAGCAATTTCAATAAAGAAAGTTGCCACTACACTGAGCTTCTGCCACCACACGGGCAGATGGTGAGCAAACCAAGCCAAAGGGGTAGGGATACACTGGGTCTCATAATGATATGTCAAGGCTGTTTAAAAAAAAAAGAAAAAAAAGAAGAGATAAACACATCATTGAGAAGTGACTTTTCTATTTTTGATTTTTGCTTTGGAGTATTGCAGTGGTTTGCATTTTAGTTAAGTTAAAAAAAAAACAAAATTAAATGTAAGTTTCTTTCTTAGTCTTTTCCATCCTGAGTCAAAGCTTGACATTACACTGTTGTAAAAGTCTTCTTTTTAGGTACTGTATTTTCCAGACTTTGGGTTGCACCGGTGCCCTCTAGCAGCTGTCAGTGTGAAAAAATATTTGAAATTTTATATTTTAACATAAGCCTCAAACCCAGCCAAACGATGGGAAAATAGTGCGACTAATAATCCGGAAAATTACTGACAAAACCAAGGAGACATCTATCTTAAGTTGATAGCGATTTTTTTGGCCCAAGGTCAAGTCAATGATCCTAATACCAGAGAAAGAAACAACCTGGCAACATTTCCAGTTTACCTGTAAGGCCCCACCATGTCGGACAGCGTGATGTGAGCTTCACTACACCTGAGGCAAACATTAGCCTGAAGAGCAGCCAGCGGATGAGCCAGAAGGTTATGCCGTCATGCTCTCTTGGCCTTTGTGACCCTCTGATTAATGTCAGAGGTGCAACAAGGATACAGAGGAATCCAGTTTCCAGCAACAGATTGTCCCTAACAAAAAAAAAAAAAAAAAAAAAAAAAACACACAAATTTTTAGGACTGTCTAATGACTTTGTCTTCCAGCTTCTGTTGATTTATTCTTAAAAATTACTCACCACTGGAAGTAAAGGAAAACCTGGCCCACCTGGAATGCATACAGGTTTCAGCACAGTAGTTGTTTTTTTTTTTTAAACGGTAGTTCTAATGTTCTAATGTCTCAAGTCACGTCTGAGCAAAAAATAAATGCCAGATGAAAACATGCTGCGTAATGTCTATTTAGAAGCGTATTAAATGGTTGCTAATACTGGAAACTAAGCCAATGTTTGTTTCAAGTCAAATAAATGACTAGCTAATGAAAGAAGCTAATTTCGAACACAATCTAGAGCCGGGGTGTCAAACCTATTTTGGTTCACGGGCTGCATACATAATTTTCAATGATAACATAATTACCTATAAATAAAAAAAAACAAAACATCTTTTCCCCCTTTTTCCTTGCAAAAAAAGTATGTAAGATAAATCTTCATATTTAGTGAAATTTAACCCTTGTGTTGACCTTTGGGTCTATGGGACCCAGTGGCTGATATTATGCCATTTTACTTTTTTTTTTTTTCTTTTTTTTTTTACCCTTGACCCATGGGCCGTATGTTTGACACCCTTGCTCTAGAGCTTTGGTTCAAGTCAATTCCCTGAGCACTAAAAAATTTGATTCTGAGACAAACTTGTAACCCAGTGCTCGACACAAATTCTACAATACTCACCTGGTACATGGACATGTACAGGGCCCAGAGGCAGAAGAACACCAGGCTGTCTCTGAGAGCTTCCACCAGCAGAGCAGAAAGGCTCAGAACGGCCCCCGTGAGGCACAGCAGCTCCATGGCAGTGTGCGTGTCCAGGCCAAGCTGAGGTCCCAACCACAACAGTGTTGGAGTGGACAGCAGCTGCTCCCCCAATGGTTTACCAGTGTATCGCAGCTTCCGACGGGCAGGCAACAGTCCCTCATTACCATAAAGACCTGACGCATTTGAGAAACAAACAAAAAAAAAAAAAAAAAAGTTAGACATGTATAAAAGACACAA